ACGGCTCTGCCCCGGCGCGGCGCCTCGTTGGAAGGACTCAGCCTCACTTGATTCAATGCTCGTACCAGCTTGGAGGAGTAGATTTGTTGCTGAGTTTGGGACTTCCATTTGATATGGTTCTGGCTCTGGTTGTGATGATGGTCTCTGTTGCCATGGTTTTTCTTCTTCTTCTGCTTCCGAGAAGGCTCCCGCGCGCGATCGGAGCTCGAAAGAAGAGACGACGCCATCAAGACGCACCGATCCGATCTCAGAAAAATCGGTTCCCTTGATTAATAGACAATAATACAAAGATGGACCATTAATCTAATCTAATCTCCGTCGTCCAAATTGATACTTGGCGTTCCTGAGCAGAAAAGAAGAAAGAGAAGAGATCCTGATTTAGAGGAAGAGATAGAAAATCCGAAGTGAAATTTGAAATTTACTCAGAAATCAGATCGATACCGATTCATGTGAAGAAAAGAAGCAAAAGGGCAAAACGGAATCAGGAAAAAAAGAAAGAAAGCAATCAGAATCGGTAGGATTAACAAAGTTAATTGAAAATTCTTGAGAATCAAAGAAGAGAAGAGGAGGAAGAAGAAGGTGGTTTTGATAAGATGCGTACCTCTTGAAAAATTCCTTATAGAATAGAATGAGAAGGCGGATGGCGAATGCGATGATCAACAGAAGATGAAGATGATATAAAATAAATGGAACCCGCGCTGTTAAGGCGTCCCCTTCTCTTCTGCAAGTGGTTAGAGAGAGAGAGAGAGAGAGAGAGAGAGAGAAGGGTGCAGTGCGAAACTTGTAAACACACCGCTCGGTCTTTATTTCCTTCCTTTCCTACAAAACTAACATTTTATTGCTCACTCCGGATTTCTATTCACTAAATTTAATTTATCCCTTTTCTTTTCCTTTTAAAAGGAAAAAAACAAAATAAACATTAATTTTTTATTTTCCGTTCCCAATAATATTTCCTTTCGAATGTTAAAATAATTCTATAACCATCTCAAATTGTACTAAAATAAATAAGTAAATAGACCATCTCAAGTTCCAGTCGCATATACACGCCTTTGCCAACGCCAACCATCCTTTTTAAACATGTACGTTGCCCCGTCAACTTCAACACCACAATTTCGTGTTTCTTTTGAATAAGTGGCTGTTTTAAATTTTTATATGGGGTACAAATTCATATAAATGTATTTGAAATAGATTAAATTTAACTTTGAATTTAGCAAAACGTAACCGTGGCACTTTTTATCTTGAACTTTATAAATTGTTGCAAATTTTACTTTTGAAAAATTGTCCAACAAGGACTATATATGTCAAATGAATTATAAAACATATATTTTGTATGAAATTAATATCATCCATACACAAAAGACAATAGAGTTAAGCTTTCTTTTTTTTTTTGGGTCAAAATTGTAAGTCTAGTAAAGTTATTCAATTGTCAATTTGTGCTAAAATTGATTTTCATTAAATTATTGAGTTTTATATTTTTATTCTAAATTGATGGATGTATTAGTAAAAATGGATTAAAAAGTAAAAAATACAACACTTATTTAAGTTAAGTTCAATTTGATGAAATAGAAAGTTTATGATAAAATTAATAGAAAGTCGAGTAAAACATGACTTTATTTTATTTTTCGAAATATAAATGTATTTATTATAAACATTCCCATTAAATAATATAAGAACTAAACTATAATAAATTATTATGTAACATTAGTTTGTTTAGTATAAATGCAGAGAGTTGTTAGGAAACAAATGGTAAAAATTGACTTCTATATTGGTATTAGTTAGTTCAAAATAAAATATAATTAGATTACCAAAATATTTAATAAAATTAAATTTTCCTTTGATATATATAGTTTACCGAAAAATCAAAATCAAAATCAAAAATAAAAATTATAATATTATATATTTATCATTATTCCAAACACATAGTTGCATGAAAACCAACAACCCATATGCAACTTTCTGTTGTCAATATTTAATTTAATTTTACTAAAATATACATAATTTAACTTAAGTTTAAATCACAAATATAATTATGTTTTTTCAAATTATTACATTTGTCAACCACAAAATGAGAAAAAGAAAAAAGCTACTATTGGAAAACACTCCCATGTTCCATATAAGAAATTAATATGTTGCTTTCTACATGACTGTGAAGAATATATGTCGAAGTTCATCCTATTAATAAAATAGGTAAGTTAGAATATGTCTTTTTCTTTTTTTCTTGTTTTATTTATTTATTTATAATTTCATTAAATTAGAGAGATTAAATGTTCTACTTAGTATAATACATATAAGTATGAATTTAAATTTATATTCTTTTAGATAGAGATATATATATTAATCTCTGTAAAAAAAAGATATATATCTTAATATTTAAGTTGGCGAGAGATTATAAATTATTATAAAAAATCAATATTATTATCAAATTTCAAACAAGTCAAATGATTAATTTAATTAAAAAAATATTAAACGTTAAACATACTAAAAAAATAGTTATTCTAAATTACATTTTAGCACAAGTTTAAATTCCGCTGGGTTTACTTTATTTAGGATGTACTTTTATTTTTAATTGATTTCTGTACTATTTCTTTATTTTTATTTTTTTCCCCAATCTCCTAATAATCTTTTTCATTGTAATTTGTATTGGTTTTGTTTCCCTCGAACCTCAACAAATAAACATGAAATTAAAAAAAAAAAACAAAAAAACTTTAGGAAGGAACATCTAACCTTTAACCGAAAATGATTGGTACGAAGGAAGCGTGGTCCAATGCTTAATCTCCACGCGTGCGATCAACAGAGTTCCATAATTTGGATGGATATTCAATGCATCAATCAATTTTGTGTTGCCCGGAGACTCAACCAGAATTCTCTGTTGCATCCAAAATAAATATTTCACTATATTCTTTTTTCTTTTTTTTTTTCAATATACATTTAAACATTGTTAACCTTTGCAATATATATCTTTCATATATTTACACATATTAAGGAATTAGTTTAAAATGGAAATGTAATTTTTTTTAAATGATATTAAATATTTTGTCAACGTGTTAGAACAAGTATCTTTTAGATTAAGAAAAATGTGTAGCTACTAGACCTTACACTTTGTCTTTGTGACAAATTTGTGACCACTAGATCTTACACTTTGTCTAAAGTCATGTGACAAATTTGTGACAATTGGATCACACACTTTGTTTAAGGTTGAGATGAATAAATTTGTGGCCATAAGAATTTAATTGTTGGCCAAATATATTTGAAATTGAACGGTAAATAGATGGGCACCTATTGTTGGAAAATCATCTCAAATCAAGTGAGATAAAAAAAAATAGAGAGTTTCTTCCTGAAAGATATTTTGTTCTTTAATAAGAGAGTAAATTTATAATAATCCTATTTGTACCATGATTTCATTCTTCTCTCTTCTTCATTATTACTTTGTGGATTTATTCTATCCAATCCTAATTCCTCTCCAACAATTTTAGCTTCTACCTTTCTATTTTGTTATCTTTCTAAGCTTGAACTTAGTCTTTAAATGTTATCCACTTTTCATTTTCATCTTTAAATTTTTTTAAGATGTTAATGAAACCTCCCACATGTCCTATGTGTATACCATCCAAATACCTATGTATATATATATTTGGATGAACATATAAACTCACACTAAAATTCTTTTAATCAAATAAATAAATATGACATAGAAAATAAAAACATCTAGTTGTTCAAAAATAGTCAAGATGTTCTCAATTGATAATATCTAACGATGGCATCTTTTATTTTGTTCTATCTAAATACTCATTCTAAAGAGGATGTGCACTTTTGAAAAGACAGCACAAAGGAAAAAAGGAAATTGGAATTATTATTATTATTATTATTATTATTATTATTATTATTATTATTGAGTGGGGAGAGCGGGCCTTACACTTTTCTTTGATTATCTATAATTGCTTTATGGAAGCTTAACCAAGAACCCTAGTCACACACAAAATACAGTTGATAGCAGAGCAGCTAAAGGTTTAAATCATATTGGAATTATATGTGGTGAGATTAGGATGCAGTTCGTACCTTTGCCACCTTCAGTCTTCAACAAACAGTAGCATAAATTAGCAGCAAAAGGTTTTATTTTTGCCCGTACATGCGCATTCCTATCCAGTAGCATAAATTAGTTTGGGTTCCCATAAGGGGCAACATATAGTTTACTCCTTACTAAGAAACCAACCAAAAATTGATGAAATCAACTAAGATATTGTATTGAAAATAAATAAAATAATGTTGATTCTAGATATTTATGGAACAAACCAATCAAATACTAATCAACAACATTGTCGAGACAAAAAATGAGCTAAATTTCAATAATATAAATACAAAATTGTCAAAGCTAAAAGGCAATAATAAATAAATTTAAGAGCCTCCTATTGTAAATTTGTAAAGTATAAACAATTTAATTTTTAAAGTCAAACACAAAATCTTCAACAAACATACTCAATTCAATTCAATTTGACAGGTACAGGTTTACTGATTGTTTTTTATTATCTCATTCACATTCCTACTAACTCTTGAACACCTCATTAAAGAAGCATTAGTTGCTATTAACTTTTACTGATGAGCTACAGTTTAGGTATTTTCTTTTTCTTTACATGATAGATATTCCTCAAATTGATCTATCAATTTTAGTGCATTCATAATAAATAAGGAAATGAAATAGGTTGAACATCTTGATTTAGCTTGCTTGTTTTCTTTAAACGGCTCTCACCCAATTGTGTGTTCAAGAAGTGGTCTTACAAAAAATTCCTTTGAGATCTCTTGTTTGTTTCACCTAATTGCTTGTTTCCTTGTATTCTTATTAATTGTCAAGACGTGTTCTCTTACTCGATGTCTTTACTTTTCCATCTCTATAATGGCTTGTAGTTTTGATCATTTAGTGGTGGCACGGCGTCCAAGGCGCCACAAAAATATTGTGGCATAAAAGAATTTATGCCTTGAGGACGTGCCAGTTGGTGATTGGGTAGGCAACTCAGAATTGGCTACATTGGGTCCCTCAAGATACTTGGTTTTAATTCTGAGCAATGGTTATTGAGGATACTAAAAAGATGGGGTTTAAATATTATATAAATTATGAAGAAGAAAAGAGAGAAAACAAAAAGGAAAAAAGTGCATGTGCAATGTGGGTTGTTTATCTGGCAATGTCTTTTATCTCCAACTCTGTTTTATTTTGTTCCGTAGGATTTTGGAGTTTTCTCACTTTATGAGGTGTGTACAGCTATGGCTCGACCTCCACATTTCCTCCACATAATCCCTTGTTCACTCTAATAAGCTTTTATTTAATCTTAAATAGGGATTAGGTTTCAATTGTATAGCTTAAAATTAAAAGGTAATGCTAATGCCTATATTTGATAAATCTAAATTACTAAAACTTACCTTTCAAGTTACATATTAATAAACTGTAAGTTCTAAATTTAATTATTGATGTCTTACCAATTAAATGACGTATAAATTTGGAAATTTTTGTAACCTATCCTTTACTAGATCGGAACACATGCACTTATAATTTTAGGCTAGACTATCTAAAACAATAAATCAAAGGCTAGACTATCTAAAACAACAAGTCAGACAACCATACTATTTTCTGGTTCTTTTATTCAACAAATCTTCTAATATGACTAAATATGAATTAACACACTTTATAACAATAGTATTAGGAATTTTAATTATTTTCTCCAATTCAGCCTTCGACCGGAGCCAATCTTTTGGTGGTCATGTCAGCATTCCACCAACAAAAATTCATAGGTCTAATAATGCTATCAGGACCCAGGCTTAAAACAGAATTCATAGGCCACCGAATAGAGTTTCACAAGCTGAATATTATACATTTTAATTGATAATCATGAACCTAATCCTCTTTCTTATCGAAATCATTGTGACCATGCGTAATCAATACACAAGAGAACAACCCACCGAATAAACCTTAAAATATAGCTAAAGACTAATTTACTAAGAACCATTATGATTAGGTTGCCCCCTTCGTGTCAGACACAATAAAGCAGCGAAGGTTTAATAGATCAAAGAGTATACCAGAAAACAAATACCAATCACAATAGGGAGGGGAAAGATCAATATAATTGAAGATGAATCTGAGCGATCCATACCTGGAAGCTGCATGCAGGTCTGTTTCTTTCAATTTCATTGACAACTGGGCCATGTAAGATGTTTTAGCAAATTAGTTTCAGAAAAAAAAGCCTAATGATCGCTGATAGGACCCCACTGGCTGATTTGCATTGACATTTAATGCAACAAGCTATCTGCAACTCATTACAAAATAATGCCGGTACATATAACCTGCAGCGAAGTTTTGGGTTTAAGCATATTGTTTACTGTAGCTTAATAAGAACAAGACATGCTGAGCAGGAATAATACAAAAATCATCAGAATTGTCGCGTATAACGGACTGACCTCGTGCATGTGGCTACGCATCCAATTATGTCAACCTGTGACATCTTATGATAATTAGTAAATACTGATCTTTATCATAAGATCAATATCTTTTGATTCGAAGGGTAAACTATTGCAATCTAAGATTTGAACGAGCAAAGGCCCGGTATGCGAAAAACACGAAAAATCCCATCCCTCTTTCCTTTTTTTTTGCCCCCATTTCCTTTGCAATTGACATAATCCCCCTGAAAGTACATCTATCTTCTCTCCATCTGTTCCTATACATGACAGAACAAATCTTTTCAATGAAGTACATGTACATGGATGGTCAAGGTTTCACATCTTAGTGAATTAACCTGAATTGTTCAATCATTAGAACAAAAAACAGATCCCATAGGAAAAGTCACCTAAAGGAGTTGCATGTTAGCCAATCTACCATGCTGTTAGGAAACATGTATATGTTCCCGCGTTGAGAGCCTGTATGGTTTCTGTGGAGACTTTACTCACTGGGATTTACCCTCATCATTCTATCTATCAACCACCAATGAGCCAATCAGAACCTTCCACAATGTCCATTTGGTGTAACAAACAAGTCATTTCACCCCTATCATTATAGTTCACATCTAACTACCATCAGAGAGCAAACCAGAACCTTGTTAAATGTAGTAAACAAGTAATCCACTGCATATATACAGTCACCGGATGGAATCAGTACTAAGATTTTGATCAGTACTAACATTTGTATGGCAGATTTTGTGCCTTCCAAAAGAAACAAATTTACAATGTATTTCTTTCATGAAAATTGCATGAATGAGAAGTTTACCCATTGGATTGATCATCAGTTTGACTAAATTAATCCAATACTGAGAATTCACATTCAGCTGACCGTAGTCTTGTCATTATTCAGGATGGGCCAGCCACTAACATACCTCTCAAATCAGTCATATGATTTCGCTGTTCAGGTCATCGTCTTTAATTTGTAGATAAAATAACATTTTATAATAGCATACCTGGAAGCGATAGAAAGGATTTGCTAGAAATATATGCAACAATACAGGAACCATATGCAAAAGACTCAGCAAGTCGCACATACCTTCTGTACGTCACAAATCGTTGTTTAATAACAAATCAGACTCGACACTCCTTATCAATGCAACAAAATCTTCCAGAGTTCAGAGCAGTTTGGATCCCGTCATAATAGTTTCAAATTCAAAACGACTGCTCTTATTTCCCTAGGCAGGAATATATATCTTTGGGAAATGAAAACAACATTAAATATTCGCTTAGTAATCAAACAAAAAGGTAGAGACTGACTAATAATCAGTTAACATAATGTGTAAAGGATTACAAAAAGATCAAAGTTAAAAATGATCATCCGCAAGCTTAAGAAAATATCAAATAGCGTAAATCATAGTACGCTAACCGTGATGTTATATATGATTAAATTTTGACTACAAAATTTCACGATTCAGCAGGTTTCTTGTGTAAGTAGATGTAACAGGCCACGTCGAATTCAAAGGTATCAAGCATGAGAAGGGATATATACCTGTTACGACAAAATCAATTAAAATCTTACTTCTGCAGCTAGAATAAGGGATTTCTTCGCCACTTCAAGTTGGCGGTGGCCCCGAGAAAGAGCTCTTGGCTCCCGAACCAAAAAAGAAAGCTAACGCCAAGATAATGATCCACAGGAAAAAACATAGAGACAGTACAAGACTTTTGGCAGAAATAAGTTGAGCAATGTGGTCTTGCTCTTGAGGTATAGCAACGAAGTCCTCCACAATGATCCTCATGGATGCATCAAGAAGCTTCTTAGACTGATGGTCAACATCCGTCGATTGCAGGACTTGAGACAGAGCACGCCTTAAAAAATCCACGGCAATCTCTGCCTCCACCGAACACGCGCTTCCTTTAACTAAATCATTAGATCCAGCGAAATTAACAGGAATCTTGTCTGTCTGTTCATTTTCAGCGGTGACAACTGACGATGGAGAAAGATCAGGGAAAAAAGAGCTCTCAAAGGAAGCAGAAAGAGCTGGATTAACAACTTGCAAGAAACTCTGAAATATAGAAAACTGAATTAGAACACTAGCAAAATTTCTAATCAATCAATTTATACATCGTTTCATCGTTCGACCACACGTTAAATACTTCAAGTGAAGCTCCAGTTGCAGTAGATTATAAGCGAGAAAATAATGAATAGACCAGAGCAAATATTAGATTATAAATCTTCTTCTCATGAGGAATACTCCACAAATTGAGATCAACTAAGAAAAAGAAGATAAACCAGAAAACAGAAAATCGGGAAGACTAGAAGAAAAAATTAAAGAACAATATGAAAAGTTTAGTTGAACCGATCGTCCAAAAACTAATATCAATCGGAACTTACACGGTCCATATCTGGAACTTGATTGATGTCTGAGACTTCGTAAATCGGAGAGAAATCTTCCATCGAAATTGGCTGGACTTTATCGTCAGAAAGTGATGAAAATGTAGCAGCCAAGCTCTTGGCGATCTTAACGGAAGCAGAACAAGTAGGAAATCAGATTGAAGAATGACAGAGATGATCACAACCGATAAAAACAAATTTTACCTTCTGAGGCTTCCTTGATCTACGATTTGCCGCAGGATCCCTCTGCGGAGTTTGGTATTCTTTCATCCTTTTCTCCATATCGCGGGAAAATTTCGGAAGTTCTGAAAAATCTTTGGCGCCAATGGATACGGTGCAGCTTATGAAACAGAGAAAATAACGGGCATGGAAATGGAACGTGGGGGAATTTTTTATATGAGGGATTCAAAATGGAAAATTTTTACCTTTTCCAAAATTACAAAAATAATTTAAATATAAGGTTGAACGTGGTTCAGTATAAATTTTTAAATAACTTTATTTACTTTATTACATTTGGAATTGAAATTATACAATTTTGTGAATCACTAATTGGCCATTGTCAAACTCCTCTAAATAAATATGAATTTTTCCTTTCCAAACATATATTTTACTTTCAGCTATATAAAAATAAATAAATAAAATAAAATTTGTAAAAAGAAGTTCTTCAGTCTTCACCCCATTGGATTTTTCAAAACCAAATGGACTTGAAAGGCTTACTACTGTTTTGGGTTGGGCCCAATACACAAGGCGCTTGGACCTGAAATATTCTCAAGGCCCTTGGAATTTTAAATCGATTGGATCAAGGAAAGGAGTGAAACCCATTACTATGGAGGTAACAGACTGAACCGAACCGAACCGGTTCGAATCGGTTAAGATAAAGTTTGAATCGATTCTTTGTCCCTGACCGAAAATCGAACCGAACCGCCAGATTTTCACCCCTACCCATGACATTAGGGCTCTTTCTTTTTTTTTTTCTTTTTTTCCAATTGCCTCCCTATCCCATAATTATATTACATTATAAAAAATAGGGGAAACTTGAACATTTGGACCCAAACCCTTTAAACGAGAGCTACGTACTTGAACATGGTGACTCAAATTTAGATTGATTCATGACTTCTTAGTTAGAGACACGATGAGTTAGATGTTGGCAAACATGATAATTTAAAAGATTGGTGAATGATAAAATAATGGTGAAAAAATTTTGTTTGACAAATGTTCAACTTGATTGAAAACATAACATATAATAATTATTTTGAAGATTGTAACTTCGTTTCTAAATATCTTCTCTCTTTTATTATTAGCATTCTCTCATTAATTTAAGTATGGGAGCTTATGGCGTCTTTTAAAAATATATAATTACTAATACACACAAATTTGAAATTTGCTTTCTTTTTGTCCATTAAATCTATGTTTGAGATCATTACTGTAGATATTTGTTATCAAAACATATCCGTTTATATATAAAATAAATCTTCGCATACAGTTATTGCAGACTTAATATCAATAGAAATTCTAGAAAATTATTTATAAGATTAAATAATACAATTCATGATTTAATTATTAAATCGTTGAAACTTAAATCAATGACATTGCGTTAATCATAATTACTTCTTCGGTGGCATCCCCTCTGCGTCTGCCCCACGCAAGTTTCTTTTTTTTTTTAATAAATTAATAATTTTATTTTGGAAAATGGAAAACAGTACTTTAAAGATATTTCGAATTAGGGTAATCTTTTTAATGCGATTAAACCAGTACTGAGATTTTATGATCATAAAAAGTTATGCTTTGGAATCTTCATCATGCACACAATCAACCATATAATACAAACTATTAGATAACAAAAATTATTCAAATCAATTTCAAATCCTCAAAAATGGAAAGCAGTAATCCCCATGTATTTCTCGAAATAACTTTCAATCTATTACATTACAAAAAAAAATTTCAAAAACCCTACAATTTTCACATTGAAATTATTTCACTAAAAGTTATAAATTATGAAAATAAAAACTCCTTTCCCAATTTCAAGAAAATGAATTATATGTCCGAACTAAATCGATTCTTTTTAAATGAAAATGAACAAAAAAAATTAAAGGGCGCATCTTTCGTGGCCAAAGAAGATATGATGCAGTATGTCCACACCAAATTAGGGTCCCAGACCCGTGGATGTTCGTCTGTCATGTTCCTTCAAGCTATCGAATGAGTCAAATTGTCTGCTTCCCGCCCGATTGACTAAAAATTAAAGGGCACGCTATCAAATCGTTTACTCTTCATCAACGTACCCAGAAAATTTCAATTATGCCATATTCCTCTTCGTTTATTAGCTTCGCCACCTCTATAGAGTCTGGTACACATCGATGATATATATCTTAACCATGTTAGAAATGTTATGTTATATTTAAAATTTTATTCATGACACTGAATAATGAAACGACAACCATTTATGCTACCTCCACTGGGGTTGGCGCACTTTTTATTTCCTGCATGATTCACAAAGTGCTCTCAGACGTTATTTTGAATATTTCTTGCAATTTGCAATTGGCCTTTCATATATAACACAGTCCCCAAATTTTGCCCTATATATATGCTTCATTCTTAATTACCTCGTTCATATCATATATATCCTTCATTAGCTTCTTAATTATCGCAACCAAATACAAGGTAAATTTCAATTCTTAATCAATATTCCATGCCTAATTTTGGCTTTTAATTCATTAATTATCTCCTAATTGTGTCTGCTGCCTCTCTATTTTCTCTAAATAAATTAAAGCTGTATTTTGTTTTCCTTATCTCTTTTGCCAGTTTTTTTCTTTTTATGATCATGATGAAGAGGGTGCTTCTTCTGCTCTTTGTTACCATGCTGGTGCTGCTGGCCGCGGAGGCTGTCATGGACGGCACGGTTGGAAAGATGGGTGTGCGTAAGCTGGCCCAAGATTTCAACGATCGAGCCACCAAAACAGGAGTGATCGACATAGCAGATGAACCTGAACGTGAAGATGTAGATAATGCTGAAGCTGATGTCACGGTCGATGATAGCGACAACAACAAAGACGACGACGAAAATCTAGGTTATAAAAACTACGACAAGGGCTCCGACACTGAAACTCACCGTTACTTCTCAAGTGACAAACCATATAGACCTTAAAAGAAAACGTAGATTTGAAGATCATCATCATATATATCATCATCCCAGTTTGTCAATGGTAAAGAAATTTAAAAAAAAATATATATATATATATATCTCTATAATTAATACTTTCTTTCTTTCTCGTTTAATAAAGTGAAACGTGCATGGAGCTGAGAAGTTGGGGATCGGACGAATGGCTAAGGCATGAAAGCTTTGCGTTTCCCACAAAGTTATGAATCTTTCTATGTTGTGAAAAATGAATGTACAATAGGATCGAAATATATGTATAATTAATCTTCTAAGCTATGTCCTGTAATTTGGATTGTAATTTTGATTTGTGAAGGGAGGATGATTAATGTATACATATAGCTGGTGATCTTGTTATAATTAAAAATAACTCTGTATTAAATATATATATATATATATTAGTACAATCTGTGAGGGTGCAGAATCGAACTCTCAACTACATGATTGTATACATATGTCTTAACCTAACCCGTTGAGTCGTGACTTTGAATTATTCTATTAAAGTTATGCTTTGGTAAATGAAACATTAATATAATTATAAAGTTTAGTTCTACAATTCTTTTATTTTAAGTAGTTTTAAATACCTACGTGTTTCTAAAGGTGCTAATTAAGTCATATGCATGTAATATTGAAGTTGATGGTAAATGTTAATCAATAGGTATTATTTTTAAATTGTGAAAACAACACATGGAGATGTTTTTTGTAATCGAATTTTTAGTTCAATCATGAATGAAATTAAATAAAGTACATGCATATAAAGTTGATTTCGTGAGTTCCAGAAATTTTTGGGATGGTTTTAGGGCTATTCTCCCATACCTTCATCACTCTCAATTTATTATAGCCCTTTTGGACTAATGAATTTTTCTAGTATAATATTTGTAGAATTTTATATATTTTATCATTCTCGTTTATTTCATTTGAACTATTATTCTAAATACATTTTAATTTCACAAATATATATGAAGACAAATTTGACCGAGCTCTTTAAAACAACAAATATGGGGATGGGAGATTGAACCTCCGACCTCTTAAGAAGAAGCAAGATACTTTAGCCGTTGAGCTAGGATCACGTAGATACGTCTCTTCATAACTCGTGAAAATTTAGAAAATAAAATATGGAGGTCTATATATGGTTTTTTTTTTTTTCTTTTACTGAGGATTTCAAATATAACTAAACTGATGAACCAATGAAGATGATTAGAACTAAATCGACAAAAATAAATTATTATGACTAGAACAGCTTCATTTAGAAATTAGTAAACATTGTAAGTATATCATCTAAGGTTTAAAAAGTGGAATGGATTGGAAATGTTCCTACCACTTAAGCATTAATTAATCAAATTAATCAAATCATGTGCGCGTGTGTATTTAATAGAAAAGCAACTAGACAACAGTAACGCCATCTCGAGGAATTAAAATTATTAAAATAAAACCACGAAAATATTAATTAAATATACCATAAAAAGATGATTATCAAAACAAGCCGTAGCATCATCAGCCACCAATATCATAATCCATAAGATTTCACTTCTAAGAGTCGTATTTGTAAATGTAACATTATTCCCACAAAAAAATTTAAAAAAAAACATTAGATAATATGTCACATACAAAGTATTCCTAGAAAAATATTTCCCATCTCTGAAAATTAAAGAACAAAAAAGGCTATACAAACGAATATCTGAAAAATTGGGTTACTGAAATTTTTACTTGAATGCAAAGAACAACCCAGATGAGGTTCAATATCTAATCCGGGTTCTACACGAGTCTGCAGCGTTATATTTAGCAACAAGTTATACAAATGAAAGAAAAAAAAAATTAAAAAAACCACTTTTGAAGAGTCTTCTCAATATGTTTCTTCGTATCAGCGAACCTCTCTATTCATGGATCGGGATGTATCTAGCGTTCAAATTACAGGATTTTTTTGTTCCTTCTTTTTTCTCTTTTATGATATTCAGCAACAAAAATTTTGAATCAATGATCGAGGGCACTTCGGACCGATAATGGCTGATCTAGGAGGACGTTGCTTCTGGCTATAAGGTCGTGGTTGAAAAATAAAACAATAACACTAATGTCATCGTGAAAATGACGCCGAACCTTCTTATCGATCTTTCGGAGATCCGAATACCGCATCTCTCGTTTTCTAGCTGCTTCTTGAAGGGCTGCCTTCACGAGCCTTTTTGCACTTCCCTGCATCAAGAACCATGTCAGAAAGCCATACAAAGTACAAACCATCAACACGTTAACAGAATGGCCAAATGAAAAGGTAGACGAGATCTCATAACACCTTTAGGATATGTCATTCTATAGTTTTTCATTTCTCTTTTATCGATCTAAATATGATATAGAAACTGAAGAATTGAATGTGGATGGAAACTTACTGCACGAGGATGATTATGAACAATATCAACTGCTTTTTCATTGGTTAGGTGTTCCCAAAGTCCATCGGAGGCAAATATGAGAAAAGAATCGTTTTGATGAAGAGGATGAGCAATAATCGTAGGTACAGCAGTCAATATGGGCATATTCATTGGTTCGGGAAGTCTAAATTTCGTATTGATTCGTTCGGTATTATACCTAGCATGTTTCATATAGACATCTCCAATGGATCTAGAAACCTGCATTAAATATCATAACAAAGTTGAACATATATTCGCTTTTCACAAAGATGATAATGAAATGAAAACAATAATAAGAGATTTTGGCAGATGTCCTATAACATTTTGTAGGACAGTTAAGAAATTGAACTATAAGAAATGGATAGCAGAAGACTTCAAACAGCACCCTCACAGGTCACAACCGCACCGTTTTCGTTGATCCTATAACGTTTTCATTTTGTAGAAAAAGGAAAGTTAAGAAGTTGAACTAAAAGAAGCAGATAGCAGAGGACTTCAAAGGGCCGCTCTCACAACCTAAAAGAACCGCAGGCAAGATGGTTTATTCTGTTAAGAGAAGCAGCAACATTTTTGTTCTGAAAAAACAAAGGACCTCTTTTAAAAATCTATCTACCAAAAATTAATGGATAAATGTGCATCATGGTTCCTCCTGATTACGGATAAATTACAGAACACAATTTTCCACATAACCTTAATAAGAATTACTTAAACCAATGAGATAACTAATCTGGTGCCACAAAAACGCATGCCATAGACCAAACAAATCGATTTCAGTCTGAACATAAAAATAAAAAATTTGACTGCGTGCCTTGAAGACATGGTGTTTTCAACTTTATAATATGGCACTGGTCCAGTTCCAAGCATCTAAAATCAAAGTCAATGGTGCACTGATCCAGTTTGGTCCCCCCACTTAGACTGAATGATAAAAAGTAGAACCAAGCACTGATAGTTTTGGGAATAGCCAAAATTATAAAATTTGGCCACAGAACACTGAAATTAGAGTATGCAGACAACATTGTTCTCCCACACTCTATATGTTGAAGCTGAAAAAATGCAGGGAAAAAAATTGACAAAGCCTTCACCCCTTTATGTACATAGTTCAAAATTGCAATCATCCAATACAAGTCAGACTATGAAGATTAGTATGCTGCAGCACAGGAAAACAGTTCCTAAAGTTGTAAGCCAAATATGCCTAGAAATGCCATTTATGATACAGAAAATAAAAGCAAGATACCAAATGGTCCTAAACCGCACCATAACAATATTATTTACCTGAATAATGCCTTTCACTCTCCAAACTCCATGCCTTTGAACTACAATTTGAGGATCATTTGGATGCATATCTTTCAATTCATGCCTTATATCCTCAAGATTTGCATTATGCTCTGTTGATAATTGAATGGCAGCAATCTCTTCAGTGTTGCCAACTTTCTTCCCTAGCACAGCACGAGAATCTCCAAGACTCGCCACGTAAAGTGTCTGCTCATGTATCACCCCTACTAGACAGCATGTCCCAACTGTTGCTATCTGAGGCCGAGTACTCCACAGCTCAGACACGACAGTTGTGAACCCTTCCTCTGTTTGACGAAACGCATTCAGAATGGTTTCACGAGTCACGACTCCTCGTTCTTCATCTGAGATTGCTGCATTAATAACAAGAGGAATTCAAGAATGTCAACCTAGTCCTTTTACTTGACTGCAAAACAACTAAAAAGAAGGAAAAATCTATTCAGGAACATGTTTCAGATTTATCAAGGTCTGCTCTTTTCCTTTTTAACATAGAAAACTAAAATAAAAAGTCACAAGAATTCAAGAAACACAAAGTTGAGGGTTAAATTTTTTAAACTATTGACTCAAACATGGAGCGAAATTATACAATCATCAGCTACCGGAGGAAACGGGGGTCTATTGTCTTCAAAGTTCAAACAAAACCAACCACATAATACTGTTTAGCTAGCTAAATATCCCTCAATTGCAGAAGCTATAACTTACTCTAGACTCGAGAACACCAATCAAGCCGCAAACAGTTATCCCATTTCCAGGGGAAAAGCGAAAAAGAAAATCCCCAATCAAATTATAAAATTATAAAAAAAAATCAATCTAACGATCAGTAATAGCAGTGAGAGTCAGTAATAAATAGGCAAGAAATCAATAGGTTCCTTGGAAAGGGGAACATCAAATCCAACTCAATCAATAAACGTGGGCCGTTGGAAACTACAGGAGATGCGGAGATGAGAAATTTAATATGTATACAGCAGGAACTTACACAAAAGAAGGGGGACTGGAAATCACGAACCTTGGAAACGCCTAAACAAGTTATCGCAGACGTATCTGGCGGCGTCGGGCCCGCCGTGGCCATCGTAGATTCCGAGGAAGGTGCCAAAAGGACCAGATTCAATCTGGGACTGGTCCTCAAGCACCTGGTTGGCCTGTACGACAGCCATGGAAAATTCTCCGGAACCATACTTACCGTAATCATAGAACCAGAGCAAGCTATCCTTACTGTCTTTTCCACCGCAATTGGTTCCGATAACTCCAACAGAGCTCAAATCATCAGTAGCATGCCCGAACGGCTTCCAGCAAAGAGAGAGCAGATTCATCAATCCCCGGAGCATCCCACATCTCTCAGCAATCCTGACCCCAACTTATACCCTAGAACCTTGTTCTGAGGCTTGAATGTCTGAGAATTGAAGTGAACCCTAGGAATTGGATTGAAGAAACGAAGGGAGTTTGATTAAGAAGGAGCAGAGTTGAAGATTTGTGTTCGGTAGTAGAGGAACAGAGAAGGTCTTCTCCTCATTCTGTTGTGGGGAAGAAGGTGCTGTGGGGAATCCTTCTGTTGGGTGTGTTATTGTCAATGTCCTCTCCTCTTTTTTCTTTTTTTTTTTACTTTTCCATATTTTAAGGTATTAGCAGCGGATGAAGCCTGTTTTTCTCAATTCCCACACATTATATATAATTAATAAATTTGATTTTGCGCGTTTTCTTTTAGAAATTAGAATTGATTTCTTGTTTTTCAAAACAACAGCTCAAAGTCAGCCGCGTTTTCTTCCCTTCCTTCCTCCCTCTACCTGCTAGCCTCCTCCTCCCACGCTCCTTCGAAACGGCGTCACGTAACACGCTTTATCTTCCTGGGCTGGGCTGGGTTTCTTCTTTTCTCTTTTCAGCCCAGCCCATATTATCTGGTCTCGGCCCAAAACCATCTTCTCAATTGCAACCTGGGCCCCACACTAAAGCTACATAAATACCCTTTTAAACCTACCTGCCCTGCCGGCCGCCCCCATCAATTACAATTTAAATACCAAAACTACCCTTTAGTTGGTTACAGTTTCGGATTGATGAAAAATCTTAGAAAATGACTCCTTTGTTAACGTTCATGCTTATTGTTTTTGTTTGTTCATTTTTAACGAAGAAAAATGAATTACATGACTCCAACCTTTAATAATTCAAGTATGGTAAAACAATTTTTCATCTATGTTTTAAAATAAATTGAAAATGGGAACAAGAAAAAATATTTTAATTGTTTCCAAAATTTCTATAATTTTGAAAATGTTCCAAAAAATGAAAAACAAAAAAAATAGTTAGTTGTAAAATAATTAAATTTCTTGAGAAAATTGAAAACCACAAACTGAGAAACCAAAAAACAAAAAGATTACCAAACGACCTTTAACTACTCGGAAGTAAAATTAAGCACAATCTTTAAGAGTTTTTACATATTCATTGTTTGGATTTGATTTTTTTAAACCATAAAATACGATGGAATCGGCTGCTTTTAATATGGACAAGATAAGCCTCCAACCGAGGCATAAAAAATACTATTAAAAGCAACATAGAAAATGCTAGCCTAAGCCAGTATTTTGGCATATTGTTCAGATTGGTCATAAATTTGTATAGTTCATTAATTATAATGTATTACATAAAAATACTAAAGTTGTGAATGTGACCAATGGATAAATGTCAGAGACTCGGAATGATTGTTTAATACTTTAATTGAGGTAATTATATAATATAATAAGCTTATAGTAGAGGAAAAATCATTAGTTGTTAATTACGAAAATCAGTAGTTAAATCGATACGATGCGTATTTGCATACCTATGCATGTGGATGTTTCACGTGGAAGCCCCCATTTGGCGGCCAGCTAATGATTGGTTCTCTCTTCTTTTCTTTTTTTTTTTTTATAATTATTTTGTGGAAACAAAAATAAAAGGAAAAACCTAGTGGAAATATAACCAGAAAAATTAAAATATACACCGCGAGGAAAATGATAGGGATTCTTCTAGAGCTATTTTGAAAAACAGTGTCTTCCAAAGTAAGACTATTGTATTAGTGCATATCGTCACATATACCGAGAACTCTCATTTAAAATTCTTAATTATGAAAGTTTTATTATGATTTGTCAAGAAATTAAAAAAAAAAGCTTATATCTCATTAAGTTAATTATTGTTATATCCACTAAACCATGATTTTGCTAATAAATCGAAATTTGAAGATGAATGAAATAGATTTCATGTATCCAAGAATATCATTGAGTTCAAATATAATAATAAATAATATTGTGATAATCATTCAATTGTTTTTAACAATATTTTATTTTAATTTATGAAATGACCTAATTATAGAGTTTTTTTTATTACATTAAAGATCATTTTTAGAATATTAAAAAATTAAAGTTCAAAATTAAAATTGCCCAACAGATTAAATACTATTGCTTGTAATAGTTTTTTCGGAGGAAACTTATAATAAGTTACTAAATTCTTACATATGTAGTATATGTAATTGCCTTTTATAGAAAAAATAGTATATCGTTGGAATTTTAGATATTTTTCATGCATTAATTTCCATATTTTATGTTGAACCTACCCATCTATCTTCCATTAACTCTAAAATAAATGACATTTATTAAGCTTTGTCAATATTAATTAAATTGGTGTTTGTAAACTAACGAGTGGATGGATTCATCTAATAAATGAAGTAAACCCCTCAAACTAATTGTCAATCTAAAATTCTAAATAAATAATCAAATGAGTGAATTCTAATTACTTTTACGTTACAATAAAAGTAAAGTAGGGTATAAAGATTTCAACTGGCAACTCCAAAGAAGTAGAGTGTAAAAGCACAAGAGAGCTTGATTGCAAGATTCACCCATCGAATTGGAGATGTAGATAAACCTTAGTGATCTGATAGTACCGAATAGAAGGGTCGTCGTAGCTGCAAAAGGATCACATTTACGAGAAAGTTTGGTGTGTTGATGTCGGCTCTTCGATATTTTACCTATTAAAGAAAATGTCAATTTTTATTTCTAAATAATCTTTGATTTGGTTGTTTCAGATTTTTTTTTTAATTTGTCTATAGTTTCTACATTAATTTTTCAAGATAAAAAATAAACCAAATAAACAACTTTATTTATAAAAATAAAATGAGATTAAAAACAAACATATTACCAAAATAATGTTTTAGAAAAACAAACATTAATTTATGCAAAATGATTTTTTTTTTAACGTGCAAGATGATTCCTAAATGCTAATATTTTATAAGTATAAATGTATTATATCTATAAACTTTGAACTTCTGGAAAAACAGTATATAAAAAATCCATGAAATTAAAAAGTAAAGAAAAAAAACCCAAAATAATCCCTAGGAAAAAAAACTATATATTAAAATTTTCGATCAAATAATGATAGCAACCAATCAATTAACTCAGCAAAATGCATGTGCCATTTTCTGACATCACGTAGAGGCCAATTATATGGTTGTGACTTGGGCCTCTTAGCCACCTAATCATTTTTATGGGCTATTTTATTTGAAAAAGTATTTGGGCTAAATATATGATTTTATCTTCTATATAACATTTTTTTCTCAACCAAATTTTATTTATTATCAAGTTTGTGCAATGTGGTTCAAGTGGTGGTTGTCTTATTTTTTTGTAATCACTATGTGGTCTTTCAAAGACCGTGAAGACGAACTGATTATTGGACCTGTAAAATAGAGTTAGCATTCTGACGTTCAAGTCAGTGGTCGTCTGATCTATATTCAAGAGAGAATGAAGTTTGTGTACATGAAAAATGAAGTAAGAGATCTATATTTATAGGTTGGCTTTCGACAAGACTTCTGACAGGCTTCCAAAGGCTCTCTAACAGTCTTGAAAATCGCAACGTATTGTCACGGATTCCATTAGAGGTTTTTTGTATTTTGCTGAAGCTAATATAAGCCAGTTCGACTAATAACTCAAACAATCGAGATATGAAGTATTAATCGGCTCAGCTAATATCTGAAGTGGCTGAGGTATGAAACCCAGGTCGATTAGGCATGAAGCATGAGCCTCGACCAATTCTAGTAATTCGGCTCGGCCTACAAGTTGTGGTTTCAGCCCTTGAGTCATTCTATTGATTCATCACTATTGTGCCTATCAGAGTGCTAACTTTAGACGCCATGGTTATTTTTCCAATAAGCATATACCAAACAATGTGCCAAAAGTCCTTATGTATAGGTTGCAACTAACAACCACGTATCATAGTGCCCATGTCTTGTTTGCTCCTTCATCAGTCATCACATGCTTTCCATGTGCCAAAGTTCTGTCGTCAAGTTTGCATTTCGCCAACACACATGAAAATGACGTTTTTTTTTTATTTTTTGGAAAAAAAAAACGTCCTTGAAATGTTAAAAAATGGTATAAATATTGAGAAGAGATTTATGTCACAACATGTGCCTTTAAATATGAACTCATACACTATTGACATTATAAAATGCTTTTGCATCACTATGCCAACACATATTCTACTCATTATCCAAACCCATCTCATCTAAACTTCAAATGAGTTTCAATTTTCTATCTAACTTATTTCTAATTTTTATTTATCTATAAAACATATAATTAAAAATTTAAGAACCGAATGAATAAACATTAAAGACTTGTATAGAAAATTGATCAGATTACCATTTCATTTTTTGTTATTGATAAAATTATTATTATTTTTTTTTGAACTTAAGACCTCTAAATTCTTGCTAACGGGACTTATTACTCTTTAGGGCTTAAGAATTTGGCTCGTTTTCAAAAATTATATAACAAAACAAAAAAGCTTTTATTTTAGGTATAAAAAAAGAAATTAGAAAGTGAGGGCATAAAAAGTATAGATGAGATTATAAGAAGGAAGGAAAGAAGAGTGAAAAGGGAGAGGGGCATGTTGGGCATTGGGGAAACAAGGGGTATGTGGCGTCATTGTTTCATTTTGGTGACACCTCCAAAACCAAAACCAGGCCTCCCCCACACCACAATGTCCCCTTCTCCATTTGCTCACTAACCCCACAATCTCTTTTCTCATTTCTCCTCTTAAACTACATTATTATTTGTTCAATTATTTTGTTTACCAATTAATACTAAAAAAATACTTCCTCCGATTCTAAACTTAATTCACGCTAGAAAGTAGCTCAGGTTTATTATAGACCCATTTGAGGTTTTAAATTCTAAGATCATATTAATATTCATGGAGTTTTATCTCAAAACCAATTGAGAATAAGAAGAATAGTTCATATCGATTGTAAAGTAAACATGTTTTTTTCTTTTGAGTATGAGACTCTTAATATATCTCATTTCAAAACCAATTTATTTTCTGTGTCACTGAGACCAAATTGTACCAATAATTTACAACCACATATATATATTCAAAATATTGTGGTCTTATTATTCTTATATATATCCAATAATGACAAAAACATAACAATAATTTTGACAATGACCATGTGGGTGATTGGGCCAATTGTTTTGCTATTTGGTCTTTAGCCATCATTTTATTTTTGGCTGAGGGAGACACATAAAGTTTTTTATTTCAAATCAACACATGCCACATAGCATATATCTTTCACACTTGAAAGTTTCCTTTCTAACCCTAATAGAAATTCTGCCTCATTCCATATATTTATCTCAATTTTACCACTTTTAGAAAGCAATAGATTTTCACTAAAAAAAAATGAAAAAAGAAAAGAGAAAAAAATTGATTTTTTTTTTGATACAATCTTTGGAGATGGGAATTAGAAGTCAAGATCTATCCGTTACAGCTTAGTTAAGCTTATATTGACAAAAATTGATTTAAATATTATGTTTAATTATTTTTTGTATTTTAGTTCTTAAAATTTTTATAATCTTGATGTTTCACTGCATTTTAATTGCTTTTTATTTTGGTTCTCAATCGTTCACTAATCCTACCATATAGTCTATCATATAGTCCATTGATCATATTACATTGCATCATATTTTCAATAATCTAAAATATTTTTTTCGTTCAAGGAACACATATGAAATTTAACAAATTTGAAATTTTAATACACTAAATTATCAAAATGGAAAATGAGTAAGATTTAAAATTTTTAAAGATAAGTAATAATTTTAAAATAACTTATCAAAAAGATATAACTCCATTTGGTTAACAATTTCAACCTCGTTTAATAACTCTTTCTTTTACGATTTCAAAAAAAAAAAAAAAAACTCTTTCTTTTACGTTTTCTAAAATTGAGCCTATAAACATCCTTCAATATATGTTTTTATTTCATTTGTTACCTACTAGTTAAAATTTTGAAACTAAAAAAAATATATTTTTTAAATATTTAGTCAAGAAAGGTGATAAGCATATAAAAAATTCTAGAGAAGCCAGCATAGTTGTTAAAATTTCAAAAAGCAAAAACAAAATAATTATAAAAAAAATTTACCCTCAAAAAATTAATCTCAAATTCCGTGGTTTGAATTACGGGCAGTGATTTTAATTTATTTTATATAATGGAACGAACAAAATTCGAAATTAGTGTAATTAAATAATAAGTTTATTAACCCAACTTTCCAATCCTTACTTATCAATTAAAAAATGACAAAATTAAATTAGTAATTTTTTTTTTTGAGAAAGAAATTAAATTAGTAATTAAACTTAGATCCAACGAAATTGGAACACATACATCTGGTCTGAATTCTTTAAAAGTAAAAGTAGGATTTGAAATCACATCACCGAGCAATAACAAACAATAGAATTAATTTGAAATCCATGGAGATTTTGAAATTAAAATAAAAAAAAATCAAAAAGCTGATCTACTGATTCATTAAATAAGAACTTCTCTCTCCATAGGCAAAGGCATAGACTAGGTGAAGCTGAAGTTATGTTGCTTCAATTCAAATCATCAGCCAAAATATTTCTGTATTGTACTAATTTCAAAATAGAAAATTAAAAAAAGAAATGGCCAAATTCAGTGTTCGTTTCGTACCCTGTTGGAGTTGGAGGTGCAGATCAGAGCAGCAGAATTGTTGGCGAAGGCTGCGTCCAGATCCCGATACGTCTTCTCCATTAATGCCTTAAAAATGGCGGAAACATGCAGAGGACTACTCCTAGTCCTCCCACGGCAATAATCGCTTTCACTTTCGCAGTATTCCGTTTCGTTGAAGCGCCCAACTCTGACGCGGCCGTCGGAGTATGCCTCGCAAGCGGCGAGTATCCCCTCCCCCCGCTGCCGGAAGTAATCGCTCACGAATTCCTCGAAATTCTTCGGCGGATTCTGTATGGAACGCATCATCATCTTGCAGCAGAACAGGTAGGCCTCCTTGTTGTAGGCGTCGGAGTAAATCTCTGCCTCCGCCGCCTCCTCCAGTTCCGGCTCGTTGAAGTACGGCTTCTCGTTCAGCACCAGCGCCTGAATCGATATTAGAATCTGAAGCACTGTGGAAATCGCTGGATTCCACCTCTCCTCCTCTTTTCCGTCCCAGGTATTGATGAGGCTCAAGCAGACGTAGCC